GACCTTGACCCCTACCTCCCGCTTGGCGGTTTCCCTGTCCGCCAACCCCCTGTGCGCCCGGTCCTCGGCCTCCCATGGCCTGGCCCCTTTGGCCCTGGCCTCCTCCTCCTCCTTGTGGCCTCCCTCCAGCCGCGACAGCAGCGTAAGACCTCCCCTGCCCCACACTACTGCCATCATCTTCGAGGCCCCACTCAATCTGATCATACGGGACCTCATCAGTACCACCTTCCTCTAACGTCAGGATCATGTGATCCTTGGCCTTTACTTGGCCTGAGATAGTACGATTCTTCCACTTCTTCCCCTTCTCCAGGTCCTTAYGCCAGAAAGTGGTAACTGGCATAGACTTTGACTCATACAAGACGACCTCCCTACTCAATTGATCATATGTGATGTCGGCCTGCTGAGACTTGTCAAAGAAATGCCCGCGTAGGGCCTCTGGGATGGCACGATAAAACAACTTGGACCAACTGGGGCTCGGTGACCCCGTGGTCCGGGACGGCTACCAAGTTGTCCATAGTACCCTTGAGTGCGTTGGCACTCCTCCACTGCCGAGAGTGAATCGTTTGGAGCTTATCAGAGGCTCTAATGCCTCGCGTTGGGTCAGCGAACCGCTCCTTGAGGAGCTTGAGGAATTGGGAGAGAGGAGTGACTTTGGAATACGCAACCAGGTTGTTTTCACAACCGGCTGTACGCGCAAGAGACCTGGCGAAGCTAGCCGCTTCATCTTTGAGAGCCTGGAAGGCCACAAGGACTTGTTCCTCGGCCAAGATATGCTGCAAGTAAATATAACTATTGAACTGGGGCCACAAGGACTTGTTCCTCGGCCAAGATATGCTGCAAGTAAATATAACTATTGACACTGGCTTCCCAGTTGTCAAAGTTTTCTTCCTTCTTTCCCCCGTACGCATCCGGAAACTTAAGCTTCACTGGGTCCTTACGGGGCCTGGCCTCTCCCTCTGCGGCGGCTACAGCGTTGGCACCCTGAATGGCGCCGTCACAAAACTTCCCGACATTGTCTCTCAACTGTTTGACTTCGCCCCCAACATGGGTGACGATCTCGCGCGCAAAGTCTCTAAACCCTGACCGCATGGCACTCAACGCTACATCCTGGCTCCAGCTTGCCTGGCGCTCCTCCATCCAGGCCTTGCTCAACACCTCTAGATAGCCCAGTACCTTGTCCCACTTGGCCTTATCATCTGGCTGGGCCAGCACCTCCGCTCTACACTCCTGCACCCTTGCCACTGCTGCGGTCATCTTATTCACTTCCTCTCTCCTCCTCTTCTTCTCCCTCTTCATTCTCAACTTCCATGCTAACTTTTGCTCGTCTTCCCTCTCTCTTCGTTCCATTGGGTCTGTCATGGCTGCTAGCTCAGCAGCTAGTGCAGCCTTCTCATCCTTAGTCACATAGGACTCCGCCTCCTCGTCTTCCCCCAAYGATAAATTAGCGACCCACTCGMTGATCTTCTTCTCCAGCTCAGTGTCCGTCTCCCACTTCATCGTGCCACCACTGCTCCCTTCTCCACTCTCAATTCTCATTCTCTCTTTCTCTTCTTCTGCTGCCGCTTCTGCTTCAGTAGCCTTCCTTCTTTCTTCCTCCTCCTGTTGTACCCTCTTCATCTCCTCCTCCAACCTCTTCATCTTTGCCGCCTGCTCATCTGCGATAGCCTTTAGCTTCGCWTGCTTCTCGCGCTCTTTTCTCTCTTTGTTCTCTCTGACTAAGGCGGCCATCTTTTCTTGCTGCTCCTTGCTATAGGGGTTAGTCTCTAGCCCAGTACGGGTTTCAACCATGGTGATAGGTGCACAATCAGGATGATTCCACTCCTCACTACGTAGACTCTGATCCCTGACTGACAAACTTATTGACTCAATCTAATGACTCACAGAATCCTGACAGGGATCCTGCCAACTAGGATCTCTAGACTAGACCTACACTATGGCTGTCACTACTGAACCAGTGGCTCATCAGGAGGCATTTAAGGAGATCCCCCGTAACTCCTGAAGAATTCTTTAACGTCGCAGACAGGACGACGTGATCAGCTTGGTTCTGCCTGTGCTTTCAGCCCACAACTCAGCCTTTCCGGCCTACTGTGCCACACCGAGCAGCCCACCGGTCTGTACCGGTCCTTGGGAGGGTTCGTATCCCCCGGGACAGTCGAGTCGTCAGACACAGATCATCAGCCTTACTTGGTCTGGTAGGGGAGTGGTTCCAACAGGCCCTCAACACTTAAAGATGGCCTCCGTT